CCAGGAACTCCCGTGGCTACCAGGAAGGAAGGACGGGGTCTAGACCCTAACTTGGCCTTTAACATGCTGAACGTTGAGAAAAAGAAATGTCTGTTCTTCAAAACCATCCACTTTGGGGATCTCTTGTTACTAGCAGCACTAACAAGCAAGACATCACCGGAAACAAAAGTAGTTCTAACTGATGCTTGCAGCTCTGTATTTAAAAAAAAAAAAAAATAATAAAATCCAGAATTTCTGGAAAGATTAGGGAAAAAGTACATCTGAAATTACTCAACTCTGGACGTTGCATGAGTCAAACTTTCCCTAGCTCATTGTTTGTATAATGGGGTCCACACTGATGGTTTCTTGGCGATTGATTTATCTAGACCTCATGACCACGACTCAAGAAAGAGTATTCGAGTCAGCTCTCAGGGAAACGCTGCCAACCTCACCATCAGGAGCCAATTGTGAAGAAGTCAATGTGTGCAGAGGTGCCAGGGGGCTGCAGGGACCCAGAGGGGAGCAAACGTGTCCAGGTTCAAGTCTTGAACCCACGGGGCAGAGGGCTTCCTCAGATGTCAACAAGACAACAGGGAAGGTGAGAACTCGCTCAGTTCTCTCCACTCTTAAAATGTAAATTAGCAGCTTTCCTTCCAAAGCCCCAGTCAGCTTCCTCCCTCTTGAACTACTCACTTTCCTGCAATCCTTCCAATGACATCACTGGCATGGGCGTTATGTAATTTAAGGCCACCACTACCACCACCACCACCACCTCAGAGGACTTCCCAGAACCCCAAACACCTCCAAAGGCAGAGCTCACCCCAGGAAACCCAGCACGAGTTGTGAACCGTTTCATTTTCTGTCCGAGTAAGTAAATGATCACCTTTTTTCTCTCTCGGGAGTGAAGGATCAGAGGGCATCTGTACTTCCTAAGAAAAGAAAGGAAGCTCCCTTTTATGTTTTATCTTTGTGGGCATTTTCTGTTTCCCTCTGCAAGTATGTGTTTTACTGACAACTGAGCCAGTTTTGTTGGGTGTTCCTGTTTTTCTAAAATGATGACAGAGGGCATTCAGAGCACCTCCTGGGGGTCCAGGATTTTTTTATCAAAGTGCTCTGGTCTGAGACGTGTCTGGGCAGAGGACACTGTCCAGTGGTACACAAATCAGAGTAGTCTTCCAAGGACTGCTGGCAAGATTGCATTAGTCAACGGCTACTGCATTCTCAATGGCTTGAACATAGTGTCTAGTATTCTTTAACATTTATATTTCCATTTCAAATACCTTTATCATCATCGCACCAAGGGAACTGGAGCTGGTGGGAAGAAGGCTGACTTGTTAAAAAAAGTCAGGCTTCCCTTGAGAAGTAGGTAGAAATGGCAAAATGGCATGCAGGTTTCAGAGAAAAATTGCAGAATCGTCTCTCTGGTCGAATTGCCCAGTGTACCCTCTGGGCTTTTTAAAGAAGATCAGAAATTGCTAATGATATGTTTCTTCCCATTGAAAACCTAAGCAGCCCTGGTGGTGCAGTGGTTAAGTGCTTGGTTAAAGGTATGGACCCACAGCAGGTCCAAGAGACAAAGAGGTGGCAGCCTCTCTTCTGTAAAGAACCTGAACCCTGGAAATCCTCTGAGGCGGTTCTCTCTTCTACCCACAGGGTCCCTGTGAGCTGGAACGGACAGTAGATTTGGGCTGTTTTTGTACCAAGCACCAGCTGAGAAACACACAAATGTCAGAGATAAGCGAAACTAATGAAAGGCTTGCACACACGGGGAGTTGTGGAAGAATGTAGTTCGGAGTACCAGCTTTGATCACGTGCTTAGTTTGAGGTGTGAGGACTGTAATGGCTACTATTTCTTCTGGTATATATACATAAAATAGTTTTTGTTTTGTCACTCATAAAATATAAACAAAGTTGAGGGGGAAAAAATAATGTATTCCTGAAAAAAAAAAGAACTGGAGAAAACTTTCTCCTCGCTGGTCAGCTTTGTAAACACCAGCAGTAGCTGGTAAAAACAAAAGCCTTTTTACAAGCAAACCCAGTGAGCGCAGAAGTGCACCTTGGCTGCAGAGAGTGCAGTCCCACGGATGGAGATGGTGTCCAGCAACCAGACAGGAGATGCGGTAGAGGAGAGTGTCCACTAACTGGGCCAGGCTGAGGCTGAAATCAGAGGTCAGTGCTGGGAGCATAAGTCCCTGACTTCTAGGCCAACAAGCAGACCCACCTCCCGGTGTCCGTTCCCTGGAGTGGCTAGAACAAATGACCATGAACTAAGTGACTTTTTAAAAAAATTCCAAATACTATTTTTTTAATATTGTTTATTGTGGTTGGAGTGAAATTTACAAAGTATGTTGTTCATTTTCTACAAATCAATAACTCATGCATGTTATGACATTAATTGCAATACACATAATGACTGATCAGCCATTCACACCACAATGACCTTCCCTTTACCCATTCTAATGTTTGTTTCTATCCATTGATTTTCTTCTCTTTCATTTTCTCTCCCTAGTAACCATACTAGATTGATTGCCTCCATTTATAAACTTTCCTCTAGCTTTTTGTAACAGTGGTCATATGCAGCATTTGTCCTTCTGTGATGTTTTATTTCATTCAGGACAATGTCCTTTAGACTCGTCCATGCTGTGTATGTTTCATGAATTCCTCCTTGATTTTCAGTGTTGCATAGTACTCCACTGTGTGAATATGCCATAGTTTCTCTGACCATTCGTTTCTTGATGAACACTCAGGTTGTTCCCATCACATTGCCATAGTGAATAATGCTGCAATGAGCATGGGTGTGCATATGTCTGTTCATGTCAAAGCTCTTAGTTGTTTAGGGTATAAACTTACAGGTGGACTTCTATTTTCCTTTTTTTTTTTAAAGAAATGCCAAATTACTTTCCATAGTGGTTACATCATTTTACATTCCTAGTAGCAGTGTATGAGAATTTTCTTAAAGCTCTAGAGATTAGAAGTGTAAAATCGCTGTCAAGGTTTACATCAAGATGCTGAATTCTTTCCAGTGGCTCCAGGGGAGACTACCCCTTTACTTTTCCAGTTTCTAGAAGCCATCCACAATCCTTAACTTACAGCCCTTCCTTTGTTTTAAAAGTCAGCAGTGTCACGTCCTCAGATCGCTCACTGACTCTGACCTTTCTGCCTCCTCAGTGACCCTTGTGAGGACATTGGCCATTTAGGACAATGCAGGATGTCTCATCTTAAGATCTCTGAGTCTCACTTGCAAAGTGACACATTCATAGGTTCCAAGATGAGGATGTGGGCATTTACGAGAGCCATTAGTCTGACAACCATAATACTCTTAAACCCAGTCTAAGGGGCACCGTCATCTACAGACATGACAGGTATCTGATGAACACAGCACCTTCTGCCTCTCAACTGACTATGTGCCCTCTTATGAAGACACAGGAACCAGGGCCTCCCAGACCTTCCAACAGCTATCCTTGCTGCCTAGGCATCCACATATGTTTCAGCAAACCCCACAGCCAGCAAGATGTGGACCCACACCTCTGTTCAAGGACACCTCCTCATTTCCAGTGAGGTTTGTCTAGAGAAGGAGCAGGAGAGAAGCAAGCACACACCACACCTGTGGGTCTCTTGAGCTCTCCATAGGGAGCTCCCTTCTCTCTCTTGCTTCCTTCTTCAGCCTCCACCACTAGAGGCTCCAAGACAGATAGGAGTCTCACTGCCAAGAGCAGGGCTCTCCTGGAACTCAGACCTCCAGGATCAGTGTCTTGTTCTCCTAGTAAGGCGGGTTCCAGGTGATCTCTAACTTGCTCCATGGCTCAGGAAGAGCACAGGAGACATCTCACTGGGAACTCTGGGCACTAGTGGTTTGGTGGTAGAATTCTTGCCTTCCATGCAGGAGACCCAGGTTCAGTTCCCAGCCAATACACCTCATATGCAACCACCACCAATCTATTAGTGGAGGCTGGTGTGATAACCAGGTTTCAGCAGAGCTTCTGGACCAAGAAGAGAGGCTTAGTGATCTATTTCCAAAAATTAGCCAGTGAAAATCCTTGTGGATCACAACATTCAGCCCATAGCCTATCACAGGTGATTGTGCAGCACCGGGCAGTGTTTCATCCCGCCGTGCACAGTGTTGCCATGGGAGATTCTATCTTGGGTCATGGACCACTCACTCTTCCCATGCAAACGCTGACCACCATGAGAACAAGGGCTGCTCTCTCTTGTTTATAACACATTTTGCTCTACCACCTGGCAAGGTGTTGCCACAAAGGTGTTCATTAAATATATGTTCAATTGTTAATAAAATTAATGGCCGCCTTCCTCCCATCAGGTGCTTCGTCTGTGCCAGGCATCACAGCACTCATAGCACCACCAGGCCTCATCTCAATACTACAAAAGTAGAGAGGAATCGTCAATGAGCCCAAGTTGTTCATGGCAAGACGTGGTGCTAGGATTAGAACTCAGGTTGCAAAGCCTTAGCTCTTTCCTTTATACTAGGACCCAACAAACCTTTCTGGTAAATGATTATATACTAACTATTTTCCACTTTGCTGCCACAATTCTGTCACAATAAAAAGCAGCCAGGAGCCAGTTGTTCACTGATCAATTGTGGCTTATGGGATTTCCTGTGTGTCAGAGTAAAACCGGACTCTGGAGGATTTCCAAGGGCTGATTTTTTCCAAAGTGGTTCATTGGGATTGTATGAAATACAACAGGAATGAAGGATAGCGTGAAACTCAATGTAAATGAACCTTGTAAGCAAACCAATATAAAATAATTTTAAAAAAGAAAAAAAGTTGATCATTGGTCCACTCTTCTGAAAGGATTCAGGGTGGACTGCAACCACTGAACTTTTTTTTTTTAAATGACTGCATTAATTATCTGTACCACTCAGGCATATCCAAAACAGCCCTATGCAAAAAAAACAGTTGCACTGTGTGTCAATAAAACTTTATTGACCAAAATTGACAGGGCCCATGCACTGTAGTTTGCTGGTCATTAAACTCAGTGTTGTTCATTTCAGGTCACTGTGGATGGCACCTCGAACTCTTCTGGAATTCCTGTCCCCCAACGAGAGTCAGCTCTTCCCTGAAAACTCCACATCCTGTGAAAATGCTCAAGGAGCCTGGGACCTGCTACACATGGTGCTGCCCATGCTCATCATCATCATCTTCATCGCTGGCCTCTTAGGAAACTTCTTCGTCTTGTCTGTCTTCCTCCTGCCCCGGTGGCGTCTGAACGTGCCAGAAATCTACTTGGTCAACCTGGCAGCATCGGACCTGGTATTTGTCCTGGGCTTACCCTTCTGGGCTGAGAACATCTGGAACCATTTCAACTGGCCTTTCGGGGTCATTCTCTGTCGTGTGGTGAATGGTGTCATCAAAGCCAACTTGTTTGTCAGTATCTTCCTGGTGGTGGCCATCAGTCAGGACCGCTACCAGGTGCTGGTGTACCCCATGGACAGCTGGAGGCGACAAGGGCGGCGACTACAGGCTCAGGTCACCTGTGTCCTCATCTGGGTCTTGGGGGCCCTCTTGAGTGTCCCCACATTCCTGCTTCGAGCCATCAGTCCTATGCCTGATCTGAACATCTCAGCCTGTGTGTTACAGCTCCCCAGTGAGCACTGGGCCTGGTATGTTGCGAGGATGGTGGAGTTGAATGTCCTGGGCTTCCTTCTGCCACTGGCTGCCATTGTCTTCTACAACTACCACATCCTGGCTGCCCTGCACAGGCAAGTGGAGGTCCACAGGACACGGTGGGGTGCCCCCACAGATGGAAAGACCACAGCACTGCTCCTCACACTAGTGGCCACCTTCCTGGTCTGCTGGGCCCCTTACCACTTCTTTGCATTCCTGGAATTCCTCTTCCGGGTGCAAACCCTCCAAGGCTGCTTCTGGGAGAACTTCTTAGACCTGGGCCTGCAATATGCCAACTTCTTTGCTTTCATCAATAGTTGCCTGAATCCAGTAATCTATGTCTTCATGGGCCAGCTTTTCAGGACCAAGGTCCGGGAGCTTTATAGGCAGTATACTCCCAGAAGTTCCACTCCCACATCTTCCACTCATCGGAAAGAGGTCCTCCAATGTTTCTGGAGGATTTGAAAGTGCATAGAGTCAAGAAGGTTGGCTTCCTTATGCATTATTTCTACATGGTAGAGAGTACTGGCATTGGCTGGACAAGAACCCCAGAGGTATCCACAACCTAGATACTGTGAATGGTGCCTTTACTAGCCAAGAGGACTTTGAAGATATGGCAAAATTAAGGCTCCTGGAGTGAGAAGATTATCCTGGATAGTTTTGTTGATCCCAGCAACTTTCAACAAGGGAAGCAGAAGGGAATATGACTACAGGAAAAAAATAAGTCATTGTGGAAACAAGAGAACAAAAGGGTGTGAGGGAGGGATCACAAATGGAGAAATGTAAACAGCCTCTAGAAACTGGAAAAGGGGCTGTATTTTCCCATAGAGCTTCCAGAGGATCACAGCACTACTGGCAACTGGATTTCGACCCGCTGGCACTGATTTTGAACTGCTGGCTTCTAGAACTTTAAGAGAGTAAACTGGTGTTTATTGAAGTCAAGCTGCTGGTCGTTTATTATAGTAGCATTAGGAAATGAAGGCAAATATCCAGTAAAGACCTGTTATTGTTCCTGTGTACCATCATGCCAACTCTGATTCATAGTGAGTGTATGTCTGTACAACACACGGCAACCTCGTCCCATTCTGCACTAGCATCACCATCTCTGCCATGCTCAAGCCTATTTTTGCAGTTACCATGTCAACCCATCTCACCGAGCGTCTTCTTTCCTTCCTCTGACCCTCTACCTGTCCAAGCATGATGCCCTTTTCAGAAGACTATCCCTTCCTGAGCACATGCCTGAAGTATTCAAGACAAAGCATCCTTGAACCTAAGGAATCCAGCTGTGCTTCATCCTACAGATATTTGTTAATTATTTTAGCAGTCCATGAATAGTCAACACTCTTTGCCAACACCACAATTCAAAGGCAGTAGCTCTTCTGTCTTGTGTATTCATTGTCCAACTTTCACATGCATATGAACCAATTGAAAATACCATTTGTTGGATCATGTGCATCTTAGCCTTTAAAGTGGAATCCTTGACTTAGGACTTTAAAAAAGATACTTTAAAGAGCAGATTGGCCCAAAGTAACAAGTATTTTGATATTTCCTTTTTAAAGGCTGCTTTCATACCTGTTGATGCAAGTAAAATTAAATCCTCAGTAACTTCATCTATTGTTGTTGTTGTGTGCCATCAAGTTGCCTGCAACTCATAATGACCCTATACACAATATATCTGAACACTGTTCTATCCTGAGCCAATATTGCATTTATTATCACATTTATATTTATCCATTTAATAAATTATGCTAACTTCTAAGGATACAGAGATGATACATCTAGAGACCATATCCACGAATAACTTGTAAGATGCCATCAACTCAATTCCAAATCATAGTAACTCTATGAAACACTTCCCAGTCCTGTACCATTCTCACATTTGTTGCTATGTTTAAGCCCATCGTTGCTGCCTTGTATCAGTCTATCTCATCAGTTCTCCTCTTTTGCACTGGCCCCCTACTTCACCAAGCACGGTGTTTTCTCCAACGATTGACCATTCCTGATAACATGTTCAAAGTATGTGATACTAAGTCTTGCGATCTTTGCTTCCAATAAGCATTCTGGTTCTACTTCCTCCAAGACAGATTTGTTGGCCTTTCCAGCAGTCCATGGTATATTCAATATTCTTTACCAACATCATAACTTTAAAGACAGATTCTTCTTTGGTTTCCCTTCTTCACTAGCCAAGGAAATGATATGAGCTGAATTAGGCTCATCTTAGTCTTCACAATGGCCCCTCTGCTGTTCAAAGACATCCTTTGCAGTAAATTTGCCTGACGCAATACAGCAGTTGGTTTCAGTGAAAGTTAATATCTTGGGCTAGGTTCTTCAAAGAAGCAAAACTAATAAAGCTTAGTGAGAGAAAGTGAGATTTCTTTCAAGGAACTGACTCACTGCTGGTAGGCAAGTCCTATGTGGGTAAGTCAGACCTCAAGAGAAAACTGTCTGCGGAGGCAGAGTACAAGTTATCAGCCGACAGGGCCTCAGGTTGCTGGCTTTGGAGGCTACTGGTTTCAGAGGCAAACACAACCGAGGTCATCATTGGAGAGCAGAGTAGCAAATGGCTGATTTTATGCTGATTTTGAAGATGCCAGATGCCAGCTTCAGAGGCTGGCATGTCCAAAGGCCATTGTGGGGAACAGGATTGAAGATAACTAGTTTTAGATACCGATGGATCCAAACTCAGCAAGTTCAGTGGGCCACTAGTTCAAGTCTTTTAGCCAGATGTAGCTCTGAGAACAACTGTTAAGGGTTTGTTTGGGGTTTTTGGTTTTTTGGTGTGTGTGAGGGTTTTTTGTTTGTTTTGTTTTGTTTTTTTGTTGGTTTGGTTTGGGTTTGTTGTTGTTGTTGTTTTACCAGAGAGTCCTAATACAAACACCATCATTAGTTATATGAGGTTAATCATACCTTTGGAAGCTCTGGTGGCCCAGTGAGTGAGAAGTAACACTGCCAACCCAAAAACAGGCAGTTCAAATCCAACAGCTGCTCTAAAAGAGAAGGATGGGTAATCTTCTCCTTTGCAATTTACAGCCTCTGAAAACCCACTGGAGGGTCAGCAATGACTTAGCTCCAACTTAGCAACCATGAGTTGTTTTCAGTTGAATCATATCTTTGCAGGTCTGCTTGTAATCCTTACTATCATCTTACTAATCTCACTAACATCATAGAGTTTTGAATTTATAATACACAGAAAAGTTACATTATATTGAAGATCATAATCACACTGGCACACAATATTAACTATGATAGTTTACAAAGATTATTGATTTTTCATTCAATCACTCATAAATATTTTGTTTTCTACCACTGGACCGATTGGCAGAATCATGATGAATGATGAAGAGATTGAGATTGTTCACAGCTTTAGTTTGCTTGGCTCCAAATCAACCCTCTCGGCACCAGCAGCCAGGAAATTAAAAGACATATTGAGATGGGAAAGTCTGCAATTAGAGACCTCTCTAAAGTACGGAAGAGCAAAGATGTCAGTCTGAAGACTAAGGTGTGCCTGATACAGGCCATGGTCTTTGCAATTACTTGCTAAGCATCAGAGAGCTGGACAATGACTAGGGAGGATAGAAGGAGAGTTGATGCCTTTGAACTGTGGTGTTGGAGAAAAGTATTGAATATACCATGGACTGCTTAGAGAATGAACAGGTTTGTCCTGGAGAGGGTGAAGCTAGTCTTCTCCTTGGAGGCAAGGATTCTGAAGCTTCGTCTGACATACTTTGGACATGTTGCAAGGAGGCACCAGTCCTTGGAGCGGGATGTCATGCTTGGGGGGCGGGAGGGACAGCACAGTAGAGGAAGACTCTCAATGAGATGGATTGACTCAGTGTCTAGGGTTATAGGGGTCGGTGTCAGAGACAATAAGATTGGCACAGGACAGAGCAGGGTTTAGGACTGTTGTACATAGGGTCACTGTGTGTCACAGGTGACTCAACTGCACATAACAACGACAGTATTAATTGCAACCAATCTATTTTTGCAATTTATCCTATCCTGACCATCCTATTACTGTGTATAACTTTTCCTTCACCTATCTTAATAGCTGACTTTTATCTATTTATTAATTTTTATTCCCCTCTCTTCCCTAGTAATGATGCAAGTATGACTCTGTTTGTTTGTAAACCTCTTTAGCGTTTTAGAATACATTTAGTCAATCCATCATTTTAATATTTGGCTGCTGTTTCCATGATGTTGGTTGTGGAAATCCATTCTTGTTTTCAGCATAGTAACACTTTCTCCAACTCATGTCCACATTGTAATACAGGAAATAATGGCCCACAGGGTCTCCTAGACTGTAATCATTATAGGAAAAATTCAGCAGGTTTGTCTCTTTCAGAATTGCTGGGTTTCAAACCACTGAGCTTTCAATTATCAGCCAAGTATTTAACCATCACATCACAATGACCATTTAAAGTCCACATTAAACAGAAAAAAACCGAAATCTATTGCTCTCAAGTCATTTGAGACTCATGGTGACCCTCCACCAGGTTTCAGAAGCTGTAAAAATGTTGTATCTCATAGATTTGGACTGCCAGATGTTCCTATAACAGCCTGTAACAGTAGAAAGAGCAAGGGTCACATCAGGACAGCCCTGTCTGACCTTTATCAACTTCATAGAGGGGAACTTCCCTGTCTACAGCATCAATAACACAAACTCAATTGCAATGAAGTCAGACACGTCCCCCACACTCTCATACCTCTTTCTATTCTTCTGAGCACAAATATTACTGCTTTGCTGGGTGCAAACTCTGATGTGATAGTTCACAGACCACACAGAACCATACTGGGGAAGTAAAAAGGTAATAATCCAAATTAGTAACAGAAGACAGTCAAGATAGCTCCAGAAATGTGCACACAGGTGCCTTAGCCTTGAGCCACTCAGCCCTAATTTTCCCAAGTTCTCAGTCCTGTCAATATTGGCTTCACCCTAATTGTCCAACAAAATTTTCAGTAACGCCCAACCAAAGTCTCATCTCATCTCACATCATTCCTCCAATTCAACCATGGTGGCTGCTGCTATTTCCAAGCATGTCCTACATTCTTCCGCTTCTTTTTCACCAGATTGGGGGAGGTCTCTTTCCTCTTCTGGCAGGGTAACATCTGATCTCTGTGGATGGAGCTGTTCAGTTTATTGGTGAGACTAGCCAATCCTCTTGTAGATTACTGAGACTGGCCAATCCGGATAAGCCACAATGCCCCATTCATATAAGCCTACCCACCCAGATGTTCAGTCATCCACATTCAAATCATGCTAGAAAGGTCATTTTGAAATATAAAATCCATACGGCCCTACATGGGACACACTGCCCATCAAGTCTCCAGATAAGGACTCAGATTTCCTGCTTCTCTTGAACATTCTAAAGATCAACAACCTTCTCGATGTTCATTCATTCAACATAACCTATTGAACCTCTGCCCTGAGCAGGCACTATTATTGGTTCTGAGAACCCAGCAATGAG